AAAATCTTGGGAAGCTAATTAGTTATTTTGAACAAGGTCCTGGATATAACACCAGAAGACAAAGAGCGCTCTCATTCTCTCTCTCTCTCTCTCTCTTTTTCTCTCTCATTCTTGCTCAGGACCCACACTTGCCCTGTTCATTCATGTTCTCTCCTGCCCAGGAACAAGCGACTATAAGGGTCTAGTGGCCATGTGGGGCCTGAGACAGCCTGTTTGGGCTCCCAAGGACTATGAAGCAGAAACTCTGGGCATTGACTTTTGCCTGGGCCCTGCTGAAGACAAGGCTGGCCTTTTTCCATGGCGAGATGGAGGTAAATGGGACATCGGAAGACCAGGGACAGGGGCAGCCATCACCAATAAGCCACCTTGCCACATTGCAATTTCCCACAGGTGGATCCTTGAAATGCTTTTCTCCCGATCCCTGAAAGAGCCTGTTTCCCACCCACAACAGATGGAGGAAATATGTCTTTATTCTTGCTAACTCCAAATAAAACTTGGTATTTTCTTCAATTGTGAATACAGGCAATAAGCCATAGCTGTGACTCTCTCATCAATGATAGTAACAAATACTTCATATAATATTAAAGTGCTGTGGCTACCTCATCACTCCTTTTAAAGAACAGTAGTTATTTTATCTTCTGTGAGATCTTGTCATTTAACATACATTTATTAAGTCATAATTTTGGATTTAAAAATATTTTAATAATTAGTATTAATTTACTGTTCCTGCATAATTCTAATATTTTTTTACACTTATAACAGTATTCTGAGAACTAATTCTATTAACCAGACCACCAAAGAGGACTATAACACACACAAACACCCACACACACGATAAGCCCCAGATCTTGAAGAACTCTGCTTTTAATTTAAGAATGTCTCAATTTTCAAAGAGGACAAAATTGTTATTGACCAAGTTTGATCATATGAGAGGAAGATTCTGAAAGAACAGATGTTTGCAATAGTTTTAAAGATTTCATGCTTGAATAATAATTAATATAATTAATTAGGAGACTCATCTAGGTAGTTTTCTTCTTATAAAAATCAAATTACATTGTTTTAAATTCATTTCTCCTTACCAACATAAAATGCAGTTATTAAATACTATTTTGGAATTTTTAAATTATATTAGATATGAGGGAGAGTGACTTAAATAAAAACAATTACTGTTAATAGATATTGACAAGCTAAATTAGAAAAATAAATAAAACAGCAGAAGCTGCTGAACATGATCATGTCCCCTCTGTAACCTGTGTGTGGAACAAGCCTATGGATTTATTAATATGTTGAGATGGAAATCTCTAACTTGTATGATTTAGGAGCCCTGGAAAACATTGATGGACAGTAATATCTCTGCCCCCTGAGTACTAGAATGATTTAAATTCAAATAGTAGAACTTAAAAAGCAATGGTTAAGAGTGTGGATTTTGAAGTAAGAATTGACTTCTAATCCTTTCTATTTATGTGACCTGGGTTTCAACTTCCTGGTCTGTAAAATTAGGACAAAGTATTCACCTCGCCAATTTGCTTTGAAGACTGAGTTAATATCTGTAAAAGACTTACACATTGCATGGAAGGAAGGGAGCAGCCAATACCTGGAAGCTCTAAGAATGTAGCAGCAGTGGGGGTCAAAACAAAGTGAAAGCAGCTATCCTCGGAGAATAATGGTGTGAAGGGCTGACCATATGCCTCTCTTGTAAAGCAAAAACTCCTGGGATCAATTAAACTAAGATGTTAGCATCCTAAAGAAATCTTTTCTTCATGACAGAAGGGACTCCAGGGGCACTGGCTGGGTAGGAGTCTTAGTGGGAAGTAGTAGAGGCATCTGAAAGAGGTAAGAGGTGTGGGAAAGAAGCGAGAAGTTTTTTAAAAAAATCTTACTTAGTTGAAAATATGCCTGGAACAAATATTTCCATGTTCTCCAGGGTGATAAAAAAAAAAAAAAAAAAAAAATTTGTTATGTATAAATCAGGGCATTATGATCTGGTGGCAACTAATTTAATAAATCCTGAGTGTGTTGATATCTTGCATGGCTCCATCTTGAAATGCAAAGATCAACTTTTCTCCCTTGATTTGGTCAAGGAGCACAATGCAGCATAGCTCACACCAGGCAGGTTGAATTGTTAAGGCGCTAACACAAGTCTGAAAACAAACAAACAAAATTCTGATCCTGAAAGTTTAGTTTCATTGCTTTATAGTCCAAAATCCACATGACAGTCTAAAAAAAGCAATTTCCCAGATTATATATCAATGCAGATTCTATGTATTGTCTCTAGCCATATTTTCTAAATCCTTTTATCTGAAACAATTAGAAAATGCCAGCAATGAGAGTAAAATAGCAACATATATTCAGTAAACGGAAGAGATCAAAATATGCCTAAGTCTGAAAATCTGTGTGAAACACTCCAATATGTAGGCACACGGGGTTTTAGCAGCTACAGCAGATGTGACTCTCAGAGCAGGATGTGTGTGCCCGGGAAGGGGTGGTGGTCGGTTAGGAAGGATGGGGAATGCTCGCTTTTGCCAGTTGACAACTAAGGCTCATCGTTGTCAAGGCTGAGAGTAAAAGATGACTTAGTCTGCTAAGAAGGCAAAGGAATCTGGCCTTTCGTTTGTTGATTTGACATTTTCTACTGCCTATTGAACAAAATTTGTATTTCCATATTCAACATGATCTTTACATAGAATTTCCAGAAAGTCAAGTACAAGAGCTGTAAATTAGAAGTCAGAAGAATTGGATTCGTATCCTAGCTTTTTTCTTAAAATACCATGTGAGCTGGGGCGAGAAATATAACCTCATAGTCTTAGTTCCTTCATCTGTAAAATGAATGGTTTAGATTAAACGTATTTCAAGGACCCCACCAGCTCTAAAATTCTCTGAATCACTAAGCAAGATAAAGCAATGAACTAATTTAATTATGATCTTTCAGCATAACTAGGCTGCTATAATCAGGAGGGCTCTCCTGAAACACATCATTTTTCCCACCTCTGGCTTGAATATATTATGCTTTCTATCATGATGGTATAGTGGATAGCCCTGAATGCCTTCAGTCAAATAGATTCAGATTCCCTACAGCACACAGTCATCTTGATTAAAATAACAGTTTATTACAGATGGAGTAGTTCCAAAACACAATAGTGCTCTTCAGGTAGCAGGTGTTCCTGTGTTTTATTCAAATGGCCAGCTGACGAGATGCAAAGGTGTTTTGTTTCTTGATGAGTAAACAGGCTTTTACCCATGACAACAGATTGTCAGACACAGGTAAATGAAAATATTCTCCCCAAATTCTTTTAGTGTATTTAAATCTACATATTATTTATCATTCATCCCATCAGAAAACATGTGACTGGAAATATAAGTAAAATTAAATATATTTATAAAAACAAGTTAACTGTTATACTGCAGAACTTTCACTCTTCTGAGCACTTGCTTAATCTTTTGTTTTAAATCTTAGATGATCTGAAAAGCAATATATTTAAATTGGATGAGAAATTTAATATTGAATGTAAATGAATTAAAAGGCAGGTGAAAATGATCAATGTCATCAAGAATAAATATACTATTTTTAAAATGAATTATTACTAAATTTGGAAAAAGTCATGGCCCATGGATTTTAATTTAGGTCATCAACACCCAATCTTGCTCCATAAAAAGAAATCAAACAGACTGAGTAACATTCTAATCTTAATTTTTATAATACCTGAGTTTAACTCGAGGCTCATTTAGTTACTTATAACCTTGGACTTACTACCTAGTCCATCTGAGTTTTCAGTAAGGAAGGCAGTGGAAAGCAGAGATCATAGACAGTTCCTGTGCACTGAATCCCACTCTCAAAGTGGCTCAGCCCAAGTAGTGAGTGTTAGGTAACAGCCCTTCTACTTGACAAACTCTTTAAACTCATAATAAAACTAATTACATTTTTTAAAGTTGTTATATCTCTTGAAAAAGTTTAGCTGCTTCATTTCATCTTTTTGTTTGTTTGTTTTTTACATTTATAACTAAAGCAATCTTCAGAGGAAAGAAAAATATTAAGGTTAATTTCTCAACAAAATACTTCTTCCATCTCCTTATAATTCACTAGTCATTTTAAGACACCAAAATTACATTTGTTCCAATTTGACCTCTTTAAGGCAAAGTAGTTCTCATGCCATTGAAGGCAAGAAATATAGAAGTATAATATATACATTATGTAAAATAGTACTGCTCTTTACTAAATATTTCCTAAAGCAATAGATTTTCTTTGTTGGGGTTTTCTTGAATTCACTCCTTTATTATAGGAATAGTTTAAGAGTTACACATATCCATTCTAAGAACTATTATTCATTTTCTTTTCCTTAAAAAAAAAAAAAAATTCTATGCAATGAATTTGGATCTCAGTAAAATGAAATCTCCATCTCATTATGAGAGTGAAACACTATTATCAGTAAGAGACACTTGTGGATTCTGAGGGATGAACAAATAAGTTTTGGATGTAAATATACCTGAATTCCAACTCCCAGCCTGTCACTGACTGTCTAGGTAGCCATTGGACAGTTATGCTATTTTTATGAGACTCCTTCATTCCCTGCTGTAGTAAAACTGGGACTCACATTGTTTAACTCAGAGGGTTGTGCCAAGAATTACATGAAATAGTATGTGCTGATGTTCAATAAATGGTATATGGTTGGTTTTTGATAAATGTATCTATTATCGTGTATTATTGTGGTTGTGTTCTGTAATCAATACTGACCTTTAAAACTGTATTATTATTAAATTCTATTCAGTGGTTATGTGACTCTTGCATCTGACTGCATGTCTGTATTTCAGATTTAGATTACAAATTCTCAGATTAGACTTTAATGCTGTGCATGTAAGGCCTAACAGCCCTTCCTTCGTCCCAAACAAGGATTGCCTCGAGCTTGGCAGCGGGCTCTAGGAGGGTCCCACTCTTTTCCTTCTGTCCCTTCATCCATCAGTCCCTTTTCTGAAGAGCTGGGGTGGGAGACACAGAGACTAAAACCTTAAGGCCTTGCTCCCAGGAGTTTATAATCTATCTGTTGAAAGAGAATAATTATAATGAAGAGCCAGTGAGCAGGAAGAACTTTTGGAACTGTGAGGGACACTCAGTTTAAAAGATGAGAGCTAAAGAAAGGAAAAAAATAAAGGCCAATTCCCTACCCCTATTTTGTTTGCCATCTGGCTGGGATGCTTTCAGGCTAATGAGCAGGGTAAATCCAGCCTGCTTTCACAAACAGAGAAGCCTAACGAGTGCTATGTAATGATTAAAAATAGGTATCAGATTAACTAGCAGAACAAAATGATGCCCCTAAAAGTCATGAAGAAAGAATCAATATACATTATGAAAAGTTTTCTCCTTGGAAATTAATGTCACTAAATAAGAATAGATATACGTTTCTTAAATAAGTTTTTTTTTTTAATATGGTAGGGAGATAGGTTTTTAAAAATGTGGTTAAATGTCCATAGGAATGAACTAGAGGAGCAAATTTATTTATTTATTTTAAATATATCTTTATTGATTTTTAGAGAGACGAAAGGAGGGGGAGAGAGAGAGATAGAAACATCAATGATGAGAGAGTCATTGATCGAGGCCGCAACCAGGGCATGTGTCCTGACAGGGAATCGAACCCCGATCGCCTGGATCCCAGGTCGACGCCCAACCCCTGAGCCACACCCGGCTGGGCTAGAGGAGCAAATTAACATGACTTGTTAGGAAGACATATCTCAAAATAGCTTGACTATGCATTTTATAGTAATAGAATGTGTGTTTCTATAATATAAGAGAGCTGAAATGTAAACATGAATGAAACAAATAATAAAAGCAAAGTGTGCAGAGCTGAACCAAACCCTTCACATGGCACACACCACGCAAGTATCCCATGCAGCGGATACTAGTAAAACACCCCGGTGAGAGCTGTAAGCATTATGTTTTAGTAAGTCTCCCAATTTAAATATAAGAATAAATCACTGTGATATTTGTTGCATGTATTTGATCAGGCTGGCTTTTCTGCATTAGTATAGCAGAGTCCTAAATTGTAAAGCTAACTCAGGTTTCAGATAAAACATGGACTGTGCAGACACAGGAGCCCTGCTATTCTGGCCAGGCATTTTCCATCAGTGCTCGGGCGCTGCAGCAGAGCTCATGTGCAATGAAGCAGCAGTGGCCTCTAGAGCATGGTTTTAAAGTCAGTTTCTTAAAATTCTAACTAGATTCTTGAAATGAACACACACGCACACACACACACGCTCATCTCCTTTTTGCTTCTGTTTGAACTTGCCAAAGAGTAAAGGTATATGAACCAAGTCTCATTAATATTAATACAATACTTGTTATTTTGCTCTCCGAATACTGTCACTTTATTATACTAAATTAAAGCCCTGACAGAAACATCCAATTAATCCTCAGTAAGAAAATGCATTACGGTGTCACAGTTAATAAGCAGTTCAAAGTAATCACACCTTGATCACTCTCCTGAGTGGTGCAGTATTTTGCATGGTGCGCTTAGAACCAGAATGTCTAATATCAGTTCCCTTAGCGATCACTTACATGGGAGTTAAGTGGATAGTCATTCTTCTTTCAGATGTACAAATATTCTACTTTCTTTTACTAAGAAGGGTAGCAAAGAAAATATCTAAGTAGAAAGAAGAAACTTACCTGTCTTAGACCAAATGAGAACATCAAGTGTCTCTGGGATTCAATTATAATCATAGGGGGTGATGATGAGCTCCAAGTTTCTTTATAGGCCCAGCTTACTGAACTCCACAGAGCATCTGAACCACAGTAACAGCTAAAGGAGGCTTCCTCTGGCCCACTTAGAAGAGTTATAATTAAAACCTTTTTTGGCCATGTAGGAAACTTCACTAAACTCAGAGGCATCATGAGCAAAGATCTTACCTTAATGAGAATCTGAATGGATCCCGTGGCTTTTGCAGAAATGAAATACCAGAAGCTCATGGTGCAAGCAGCGCTGGATTCCTGCCACACAGCACTCTTGAGGTGCGCCTTGTCACCCCGCAGGCCCACTGGAGTAGCCTCCAGATACAAGAAGTGCCCTAGGAACAAGGACAGGATTCAAATAGGACAAAAATAACAATGAGGGAATTATTTTAGCTTTTGCATCTGTGAGTTGTTTTTAAATTAAAATATAGTTGACATATGGATGGCCAACAGACACATGAAAAGATGTCCAATATCACTAATCATCAGGGAAATGCAAATCAAACCACAATGAGATATCACCTCACACCTGTCAGGGTGGCTATCATGAAAAAGACAAGAAATAATAAGTGTTGGCGAGGATTTGGAGAAAAGAAAATCCTTATGCACTGTTGGTGGAAATGTAAATTGGTGCAGCCACTGTGGAAAATGGTATGGAGGTTCCTCAAAAAATTAAAAATAGAACTACCATATGATCCAGTAATTCCACTCCTGGGTGTTTAAAGAAAGTGAAAATAGTATTTCATAAAGATATATGCACTCCTATGCCCATTGAAACATTATTTACAACAACCAAGATATGGAAGCAACCTAGATGTCCATAAATGGATGAATGGTTAGAGTTTTTAATTATATTTCATATGATCTGAGCTGCAAAACAAAAGGGAAATCTAAGAGCCTTGCCTCTACTCACTGACGGAATAATTTCCAACCCTGTGCTTTTAGCAAGGTACTTCACAGTATTCAGATTAACTCATCTGACAGGAAATTTACAACATTGTATCAACAAGATAGTTATAGAAATCATTTAATGGACCCTCTAAACTATCCAGTTATTGAAAAACAAAACAAAGATGACCTATGAAATATAAATAAGGCTTTCAAAAATTCAGTCATCAGTAGAGTGCATAAATAAAACACCGAGAATTTTAATAGGCAACACAATAGGAAACATATTGAGTTTTATACTTGTGTATCCAAATATCCAAAACATTTTATGTATGTAGAGCTGAGTGTTTGGGTGGAACTTAGACCTTCCTTTTTCTGGCTTGGTCAAGCTGACTTGGAGAGCTTTGTCTTTTCATAGGCCTGTGGAATTTCAATATTTAGACATCTTTTTTCTACTTTGTAGCACCCAGGAACTCAGGGCCCCTTCTTTATTTGACCAATGCCCTATGTCCCTTCACCAGGAAGTCTGAGACTTGATCTCAGCTCTTCATTGCAAAAAGGAGCAATCCCAACACCTTTAACACATGAATCTTACAGTGACATCTGCACAGCACCTCTACAGCTTCCACACTCCTTTCCCTGCACACACATCATCTCATTTGATCTCTACAACCCGTTTGGCACATAGGGCAAATTTTACAACTGCCTTTTGAGAGATGAGGATTTTGAGAGTCTGAAAAGATCAAATGAGTGGCCCGATTCAGGGTGCCTCATTCAGGAAATGTACCTTACGGCAGCAAAAGTTATCATCTACGGACAGTTATCAACAGAAGATTAGATTTTGATTACTCACTGTTATGGGTTGACTTGTGTTCCCTAAGAGATGTTCAAGTCCTAATCTCCCATCCCGATAAATATGACCTTATTTGAAAATAGGGTCTTTGCTAGTGATCAAGTTAAAATAAGATCATTAGAGTGGGCCTTAATTCAATATGGCTGTGTCCTAATAGAAGGGGAAAATTTGGACACAGAAGCAGACATGCATGGAGGGAATATAATGTGAAGACACCAGAGCATATCATCTGCAAGCCAAGAACTGTGAGGTTACCAGAGGCCAGGAGAAAGGCATGGAACAGATGAATCTCTCTCTTAGCCCTCAAATCCAGTCCCACTGACGCTTGGTTGCACAATTTTAGCCTCCCACACTGTGAGACAACAAATGTTTGTTGCTTCTACTATCTGGTCGGTGGCACTTGGCTATGGCAGACCTAGGAGTCACATACACTCATTTAATGTTTGACTTACTTGCCATGGCACCACAGTGGTCTCTGCAGGGCTCTCCAGTTTCTGTCAGGGAAGATAACTCGATGCTCACTGTGAATGATTAGAGTGGCTGTAACAACCTAACAACCTACCATTTTCATTTCCAAGTGTGTGGTCTTTGTGAGGTCTTAGGCTTTGATGAGAGCCAACCCCCAAAACCCAATCAAAGTTTTCAGCCAGGGAGTTTTGCCAGCCACACCAGCCTCTTTCAAAAGTACAGGAGCCCCCACATTCATTTTCGTCAGTGGAATCTCCACAGTCATCTACAAAATTACAGCTTTGCTCTGGATTATAACATTTGCCATTCTGACATTCCAGAGAGCCATGTGGGCAGTAACCTGAAAAACAGAAAACAAAACGAAACAAAAGGGTGAGGAAACACTACTAATGCATTAGTGAAGTTAAAAGGTAGTAAAAGTAGATTCACTTTAATATATAAATAAATAAGATGTTCTTAGGAGTTTGAGTTACCTGACCCCTATCTCTCTGTCTTAATTCTCCCCAGGGTTCTGGCCTAAAAATCACTCACAAGGATCATTCAAATGAAAAAAAAAAAAAAAGAAAGAAATATCATCTTATTGATCTAGTAAAGTACCCCAAGTCTCCTCAAATACAGCACTTCTTATATGCTATGTTCAAGGATGTAAATGAGGTCTAAAAGCCAAAGTGAGGCTTTCCATTTTTTAAACCTGAAACAAAATCTTTAGGGTGCTAGGAGCTCATGTATTATGGGGCATTTGGAAGTACATTCCATCAGCATCCATGCACTCCTATATTTATCAGAAGCCAAGCCTATATATGATACTTTCTCAAAGCAAGGACAAGAATATACCAGTAAAACAGAATTATCCAATATATTTTTCTCCACAATGCAAAATTATTTGCCAATTGTTTTGAATTTTAGAAGCAATTTCCCTATGGATCAAGGTCAACCATAAAGAAGTTTTCACAAAGCTTAAGATAAAGAGCAAAACTTTCAAAGACCTGCGTTTGAACTATGATGCTGATAATTATCAGTTATGTGACTTGATGAATTTTCAGTTTCCTTATTTAAAAAGAGAAAAAATAACAATAAACATAGAGAAGTTAAGCTAGTTAAAAAGACTACTGTCTATATCTCCAGCGTCTAGAACAGTGCCTGGCCCTTAGTAAATGATCAGCAAATATTAGCCAAATAAAATGAACAAGTGAAATCATAAAACAGTTCAATATGCATGAAGGTATTATTATTATTATCCTGCTCCAATATTATAATAGAACCATGGTAACAAAATTTCAGTAGGAAAAGTTGCTTAGAGATCCAACTGGGGATGTTAGCTTCCCATTTGCTGTGACACAATAGTATCGGAAATTGTCTTCCTATCCATCTTCCCCAGCTGCCTCACAGATGAGCTGATAATTCCACTTCTAGATGATAGTTTCCATTGCCTGAGGAGAGTTGCTTGGTGGTTGAGGGTTGTGTGGGTTAGAGGTAGGGGGTGATTCAGGGATTTGTCGAAAGATGTTTTGGGAGCTGGAAACTACTGCTAATAAAATCCTAGCTACCAAAAAAAGAAACATTCCAATTAAAAAATGGGCAAAGGACCTGAATAGACATTTCTCCAAAGAGGACATACAGATGGCCAAGAGGCATATGAAAAGATGCTCACTGTCACTAACCATCAGAGAGATGCAAATTAAAACCACGATAAGATATCACTTCACACCTGTCAGAATGGCTCCATCAATAAATCAACAAAGGACACTTGTTGGCGAGGGTGTGGAGAAAGGGGAACCCTCATGCACTGTTGGTGGGAATGCAGACTGGCGCAGCTACTATGGAAAGCAGTATGGAGGTTCCCCCCAAAATTAAAAGTGGAACTGCCGTTTGACCCAGCAATTCCACTTCTGGGAACACATTGAAAGAAACTGGATTACCGGGGTGGGAAGAGGTGGAAGAAGGTATAGTGGGGATAAATGGTGATGGGAGGAGACTTGACTTGGGGTGGTGAACACACAATACAATACACAGTTGATGTATTATAGAACTGTACACCTGAAACCTATATAATTTTATCAACCAACATCATCCCAATAAATTCAATAAAATATAAAAATCATTAAATAATAAAATAAAACCTTATCTAGAAGCTTTTATGTCCTAAATCAGTCTCACATTGAAGACTACAGATGACTAAGAGGCAAGAAGTAGGAGGAGATTAATGGAATGCCATGTAGGAACCACTGGGGAGGAGACTGGTGTTCTGAAGCCTCCTAGCAATTTTGTACACTAAATTGTTCCTGAGCTGCGTGTTCAAGATTGCCTAATTAAATGACCTCTATAATTACAAAGCCTTTGAAAATAAATTTAAACTGTGCATTATGCCTCTAACAAAACTTTCCGTCTGGGTTAACTGCTAACTTTTCCTTTTCTTGCAATGTGGATTTAAACGATTTTTACTTAGATGCTCAGTTTGGTTTTAGCAAATTGGGGGTAAGACAAAAGACCTTTAGTGTTTCACTTACAGAGCTTGATTCTAAATTATAACATTAAAGCATTTTTTGAGCTACACAGAAACGGAGATCACTTACATTAACCCTCACACTTATAGATGAAAAAAATGAGGATTATAGCTATTAAATGACTTGCGGAGTTTTCAAGAGCAGAGATGCAATTTGGACCCAGGTCTACTGTCTAAAGAATTATTTTTGAAATCCACTGACTTGAAAAGAAGAGCAGTGATATCAGGTCAACTATCACAACAAACACCACCACCAAGGAACAAAAGTGGTGGTGTTGACTATGAGATGAATTATTTCTCATGGGACTGTGGAGAACCTGAGAAATTACTAGATCATTTAATTGTATACAAGTTGGCGTTGGTATTGATTCTGTCAAATCCAATTTGTTTGGGGAGTAAAAACAAACTGGTCCTGAAAACACTTTCTCCAAAGTGACTAAATCAAGCTAAAATCTAATTCTTTTAAAGGAAACAAGAAAATAATTTGAGCATGTTTCTAATTGGGAACACATTATAGATTGCAATATATTACATAATCAATATAGCTAATATTTTAGAATAATCAAAGTGATTAAGTTTTACATTTCTAAAATAAATAGCCGCATAATTTTAAAATACAATAATTCAAATATTACATAACGTTAATTCTGAATAGAAAGCCCTCTACATTAATAAAGTTTCACTGCTATAATGCATTCTACCCATAAAATAAAGCACAACATTTTTTGACAAATATCAAGGGATAATATCAACTAATATTATTCACCTATTTCCAAATGATTTTCCTTGCCTGTTGTTTTGTCCAAAGAAATCAGCTACCTACAAGGAGGGTGCATATCTTTAAGTGATTCTGATATTAAAGCTCTTATGAAATTGTGCAAATTTGATTTTTACAAAAGTAAATATTGTTTAAATTGGGAAGTGACCCTCTATGTGGGCAGTTTAGTTTTGTAAAAAGTAATAAATTATGTGGAATTTAAAGCAAAAGGCAGCGAACAAACAAAACGAACAAAAAACCCCCCAACACACTGATAGATACAGACAACGGAATGGAGGTTACCAGAGGGCAAGGGGGTTACGGGGAGGACACAGAGGGTCAAGAGGATTGAACATACGGTGATGGGAGGAGACTGGACTTTCAGTGGTGAGCACACAAAGGACTATACAGAGGTCGTATTATAAAGTTGTATGCCTGAAGTTTATATTATGTTATTAACTGACGTTACCTTAATAAATTTAATAAAAACAAATACACGGAAAAATGTTTTAATAGGCAACTCAAAAAAATAATAAATTGTAAAAGTTACAAACCTCCAGTGCAAATCTTAGAGGCTTCTGAAACTCAACATGCTTAAATTCAGTCTCTGAATTTTGCCCTTTATAACTCCAATTACTCAGAGGCAAAAGAAAAAACTCTTGTAAGGAGCTAGTAGAGCCTGATTCCACTTTTTGATGTTTGACTTGATTGCTGACAGCTCTTCCCCTTGTGCTCTGTATCTGGGAAAGCTGATTAAAAAGCCCAAGTTCTTATCCTCATAATAGTAGGTTCAAACCACACAAGCCTCTATCTGTGCACAGGATCCCTCACCCTGTTCCCACCCCCTAACCACCAAAAAACTCTAAGCCACTTTCCTTTCCTTGCTCTCTAAAACTACTTTTGTACTTAGCTATCCTGATCTCCCAGAAAGGGAGTAACAGACTTTTTTAAACCCTCTTGGTGTGTATGTGCATGAAAATCCTCTTATAACAGGATTTTCCCAAGCTTAGGAGCTGTAATAATAATAAATCTTTTTATCTCATAACTCATAATATTTTAATGAATTATATGAATTATCAATCTTACCATTAGAATATATCTATCATTTCTACTGTTGCTATTTTGATTTTAACAACTATCATTTTGTGTGATATTATTGCAATGCTTTCTTTCCTACTCTCTGTGTCCTGCCCCTGTCCTGTATGGTCCATTAAACAGTAAAGAACCATGGTGATATTTTAATATAAATTGAATGTCACTCCTCTGCCTCAAACTCTACTATATTTAAATACTGTTCCCCATTACAGAGAACCAGGTCTTCTTGGGAAATGGTCTATTTGGGGATGAGGAAAAGAGAGTTCAAGATGAGCCTGAGGATTCTTTACTTCTTGATACAGAAAATAATAAAGTGATCAAAAAAGTTATGACATTGTGATGACAGGTTTAAAGAGTTTGTTTTTAAAGGAACTTACTGGCCAAATTAGAGACAATTTGATCATCAAAAGATTAATGAGAAGACTTTTGCTCCTAGCACATACACAGTAAGCAAGAGGAAGAGGATATGAAGTTTTCCTTCAGCCATAAACAAGTAGAAACCTGGGCAAAATATATGAAACAAGTGTTTTCAGATAATTGAGCAACAGGAAGCACAGGATTGTGATCTCTTAGGGAAAGGGGGAAAAGTGACCATGATCATCCCAGATTTCTGCCTGAGGCACTTTCTAGACTGTAGCTCCTAAAGGTTAGCACATCAGACAATGAGGCTTTACTGAGTTGAGAAGACAGAGTCTGGAACAGCGAGAATTTGTAAGGCAGGGTGGTGATGGAAAGGGAGCTATAGAGAGAGAGATCCAGAGAATATGCTGAAGTCTTTGGCTGAATTCTAATTTTCATAGTTATAAGGTAGAATCCACAAAGAGAGACAGGACAATTCCTAAGAGAAAAATTACCAGACTTCACATAGGGCCAGATACCATTAAGTTTCTGTCAGCATGAAGAGCCCTTGCCAAATAAGCAGGGCATTCAGTAGGGACTCCAGAAAGGGTACACTTTTAGTAATGACACCAACTCTAGAAGGAAG